TTTTTAGGGCCGAGTATAATAACGCCAGTTTTATCTGAATTTACAAACAGAACAAAATGGCTTTAAGACATTCCTTTAGTATAACTAATTTGTGTGTCATCAGGCTTCATGGATAGATAAATCCGGGTGTTATCTGCATAGCAGTGAAAATGTATGCTATGTCTTCTAATAATATAGCCTAAGGGAAGCTGGTATAATGTAAACAGATTCGGTCGTAGCAAATAACCCTGTGGAACGCCATAATTAACCTTCGTTTGTGAAGAAGACTTCCCATTAACGTGAAGAAACTGTAGTCTGTTAGGCAGATATGGTTCAAATCACTGCAGTACAATGCCGTCATCTTCTCTTCTTCTCAGGTTCCTCTGGATTTGTGAGTAACGTACGCACTTTCGTCTGGATCCGCGTGCAGCAGTACACCAATCGACAGGTTCAAGTCAATCTGTTTGGCCACCTGCACTCCCTCTCTCTGCGCTGGCATCTGAGCCGCAAAACTGGTGAAGTACTGAGAAGTATCAACCGTGGCACATCTTCCGTTAACAACTTGGTCAGGTGAGATAGTAACGGTCAGGATCATAATAATTATAAGCAAATGAGTAACTCATAAATGAACCTGCTGACAAAATATACCAACCAACAAGGTTTACAACATAAATGCCCAAAACATTTAGGCCCAACATAAATGTTTTATCCTTAAATGCTCCTCTCATGTTAGAATCTGAAGAAAAATTTAACTCAGTTATTGGTGTTTTTCCACAGCTACATAGTGTTCAGCATCTTTCCAACCATTGCTGATATTATCATCGCCATCATCTACTTCATCACTTATTTGAATGCCTGGTTTGGCCTTATTATCTTCATCTGCATGACCTTCTACCTCAGTAAGTTATGCCTGTTGAACCTTTTGAACCTCAGCTAGCTTTGCTTTGACCCAGTTTAATAATGAAAAACTTCAAGTGTGCTAATCTTCTGTGTAGTTCCGCATGGCCTGAAATAGATTTTTCAGATCCTCTTTGACTGTGTAGTAATTTCACATTAATGTGTTTGCCAGCCTTGACGATCATCATCACTGAATGGAGAACCAAGTACAGACGAGAAATGAATCGGATGGATAACGCTGCCAAGGCCAAGGCTGTGGACTCCTTGTTAAACTTTGAGACGGTACATTAAATATGTTTGTGGTTCACAAAGTTTTGTTGTTGTTTTTTTATTCTTTCATCCTAAAATGCACCTAAATTACAGTTTGTCACTGTTTGTGCTTTTTATTCCTGTTGAAAAGGTAAAATACTACAATGCAGAGAACTATGAGGTCGGCCGGTTTGAGGGTGCAATCTTAAATTATCAGGTAAGTCAGGTCAGGCAGGTAAAGCATTACAAGGC